CAAAATAGAACATGACAATTGCTGGTGAGGATATGGAGAGATTGGGACTCTCATACACTGTTGGTGGGACTGTAAAATGATAGAACCACTGCAGAAATTGGTATGATGATTCCTTAAAAACTTGGAAAAAGAAATACCATTTGATCCAACAATCCCATTACTAGATACATATCCTAAAGAAGTGAGAGCCAGGACACAAACATGTATGCACACCCATCTTCATTGCAGCACTATTCACAATAGCAAAGAGATGAAAACAACCTAAGTGCCCATCAACTGAGGAATGGATAAACAATTCCACACAATGGAATACTGTGCAACCCTAAAGAATAATGTAGAATCTGCAAAACGCATGTATGAACTTGGAGGACATTATGCTGAGTGAAATAAGTCAATCACAGAAGGACAAATATTGTATTAGTCCACTATTATAAAAAGTCAAAGAAAACTTTATACATGGAAGGAAACTTTCTTTGTTGGTTACCAGGGATGGGAGGAGAGGCTAAATTCCTAGATAGGTTTTTTGGGGAATATATATACTAAAGATTATTAGTGGTTACCAGGGGTGGGAGGGAAGGGAAGGAAAAAGGGGAAGTTATTGTTTATGGGGCACTGAGTTTATGCTAATAGTGGTGGAGTATTTTGGAAAAGGATACCAGTAATTGTGATGCAACATGAAAAATGTCATCGGTGTCCCTGAACTGTAAATGTGGAACTTGCTATGTTGGCAAATGTCTTCTTGTATATGTCTTCACCACAATAAAAGTAAAAAAAAGAAGAAAAGAAAAGAGAAAGAAATTGCCATTGCCAAACCATTTTCCAAAGTGGTTATGCTACTTTTTATTCCTACCAGCATTGTAGGGGATTTCCACTTCCTCTACATCCTCACTAACATTTGATGTGATCAGTCTTTCTAATTTTAGCCATTCCTTTATTTTAGTTTTTTTTATTCTTAATGTCTAGCCATCAGTTCACTACATTATATAGAGATATATCCTTGTGGGGTTTTAATTTGCATTTCCTTAATGATGTTAAACATCTTTTCAAGTGCTTGTCATTTATATATCTTCTTTGGTGAAATGTCTGTTTAAATCTTTTGCCTATTTTTTAATTGTGTTGTTTCTTCTTGTTGAGTTTTGAGAGTTCCTTATATATTCTGGATACAAGTCCTTTTTCAGAGTTCTGATTTTCAGATATTTTTTTCCAGTTGTGATTTTTCATTTCATTGCCTTAACATAATCTTTTTAAAAACAGAAGATTTTAGTTTTGATGAAGTCTAATTTATCAATATTTTCCTTTTTTGGATCATTTCTTTGCAAGCATATCTACAATATCTTTCCCTACTTCAAGGCCACAAAGACATAATCCTCTAATTTATTTTGGAAGCTTTGTAAGTTTTAGGTTTTATATTTAGGTCTGTAGCCCATTTGGGGGCTAATTTTTATATGTATTGTGAGATGTGGATCAAAATTCCTTTTTAAAATACGTATAGTCAATTGTTCAGGCATGATATGTTGAAAAGACTTTTTCTCCTCATTATGGATCATATTTTCCTCCTTCTTTTTGTATCTGATAATTTTTTATTGGGTGCCATCCATTGTGAGCTTTACGTCGTTGAATGCCAGACATTGCAAACTTTATTCTGTTGGATGCTAGATATTTTTAT